CAAACAAACAAACAAACAAAATAAACTGATTTCATGTGAAATAATAGATATGCCATTTATTGTAGATCATACCTTCTATCGTGAGGAAACAGAACTTACAAGTATATTATTATGTTGAAAACGTTCACTATGGTATTCAAGGTACTTAACGTTCCAACGTTAAGAACCTAATAGTGTTTAAAATCTGCCTCGTCATAAACGTTAACAAGTCATATATTTTGTTCATTACTAAAGCAACTAAAACGCATGATCTTCTATAAAATATAAATGAATTATAACACATCATAATAATGAAGTTGCTATAACTACAATGAATATCTAACACCAAGGTAGAATGATCCTGGACAGTGTTTGATTAATTCATAAATAAGGTTTATACAACCTAAAGCCAATCATTTGTACACTATAGGTAAATATATATGCAAAGAGTGTAAATATGTGAAGTTTTGAAAATTTTGTGAACTATAAAATATTTGCCTTCTCAAACTAAAAGAGAAAGAAATGCATGGTATTCTTTAGATACCACACTTGTAACTTATTTCAGAATACCTGCAGTTCGCAACTATTTGAATCAACACACTTTTGCAAGCTTTATTACTTGTATCCAACGGTATACGGAAAAACATTGTGAAGGTTTAATGACTTTGAAATGCGTACGAAATATCAACTACATCTAGAAATTCAGTATACTCGTTTCATTTTAGCAGCGCATAAAAAGAACTGATGGTATTTTCTAACCTGGATTTATATTACACTATTATCCATTGAAGATTTAAATCTTATTAATAAGTTACTGAAGACTAGTTGGACATGAAAAGTTGTTTCCTTTTTTAATAGTAAAAAACACAAAATGTGAAACTGAAATTTCGACGTATCTTCCCATGGGCCCAATGGACCTTCATACCAATTTTAGTGAAGATCCATCCACATCCTGCGAAGTAGTTACATGGACATACAACAGACAGTACGATTATATTTATATAGATTCTCCCGATGGGTTAGCTGTAAGTCATCGGACTTACAATGCTAAAATCCGTAGTTTATTTCTTCACATTAAACAGAGTGCTCATAGCCGTTTGTTTAGTTTTTGTCCTGAAAAATGAAAAAATTATCAATATAGTATAATTTAAAGGAAATTTTTCAACTATTTACTATAGGGTTTGCGTTTTAGATTATGAAGGTTTAATTATATTTATAATGTAATATATAAAAGTACAAATACAAGCCACTAATTTATTTTCTTTATTTTGATGCTTTAGCAATATATTTAGCAAGTAGCAAAAAAGCAAAAGTAATTTATTAGCTTATTTATCATAATATATTATTTCATTTGAGTATTTGTTATTTTAAATTCACTGTATAAGCTGCCAGATGGCAGGAGTAAATGTCATATGTTTTTAAGTAAGTTTCGTAATCGATGAGATAAAATAGTAGCTTTTTAATTATATAAAAGAAATGTGAAAACACTAGCTTTAGTGCATTTTTTATCTTATGTAAATAGATTTATGATTGTCGAATTGAAGTATATGTGATAAGCAATTTTAATTTAAACATTATTATTATTAGTTTAACCGTAAAGGAATTTTATTTACTTTAAAGTTTTAATTTGAAAACTTAAGGCTTAACTCCGTAACTGTCTAAAGGATGATTATTATAATTTATAACAAGTAATAAAGTATAACTTACAAGCTACTGACATTGAGACTCTTAGAGTAGTAGTTTTCGACTTAAGTTTCAATGTCGCTTGTAAAAGTTGCATAATTATTGACAAATTGACTGTTCAACTTCAACTTGTTTCAAGTTTAGTCCAGTAGTTGTCGCAACTTGTAAGTAATTTGATACGCAGTGCTAATAATATTGGTAGTACTAGTAATAGTAGCCTACACTACTTGTACTATAAATATAATATTTGACTATTAGTACTAGTACTCGTAGGTTAGATGTGTTGACAGCAACTATAATTCAACAACTAATTTTCAAATTGGAATTTAAAACATTTTTCATAATTAAAAATTGAATGATTAAATACGTTTAATAATATCTGAGTAATTGTTAATAAAAATATTACATGCAATAAGATTATTCTTAGATTTATAGTTTTTTTTGTTTTTTTTAGTACTGGGAATGATTGTCTTTGTGATGAATCTAGTTCATATCTAAAACTTTGAGATTTCTTTAAACATCCTGAGGTTTATTAAAATCTTTTGTAACAAAGGTGATACCTAAAGGATTATTATATCAAGATTTGATTAATTTTAATTTTTTTGTTTACTTTTGTTGTATTTTATCATTGGATATTGAAATGTAGTCACAGTGTTTCATTATATGTGTATTTCTTTTATAAATATATTTCATTCTAATATAAGTGACACTTTTATCTGTACCTTGCCTGTAAACATGTACTAAGCCTATGGTTTAATAGGAAGTTAAGTATTATCTTTAGATCATTCTGTGCTAGAGTAGAGATAAGAAAAATTTATAATACAAATCTCTAATTATCTGTGAAAATTAACCATACACAAACTGAAATGTTCAATAAGTTTTTGCTAAACTATTTTAGATTAATTATAAAAATATTTTGATATGTGTATAGTTAGAAAATTCTGTTTTCTAAAGTGTATTTGTTCTTGATGAGCATTAAAAATTTATAATTTCTAAACAGACTGGAAATGTCTGGTGGTTAGGGCACTTGACTCTCAATCTGCAAGTCATGGTTTCAAATACATGCCACCAAACATTCTTGCTTCTTCATCCAAGGAGTATTATAATGTGACAGCCAGGCCCACTGTTTGTTTTGTAAAAGAGTATCCCTAGGGTTGGCTGTGAATGGTGTTAACTAGTTGCCTTCTGTCTAGTCTTTCATCGCTAAATTAGGGATGTGAAGTTCCATGAACAAGATGAATGTAGAATATATTAGTTACACAAAAACAAAGATTTTCTTTTTATGAATCATATCAATAAATATGTCTCAGCTGCATTTTTGTAAAACCATTTTTGAGTGACATTTAACTTTATATTTCAAAGTTTTTCATAAACATAAAAATATTGATTATAAGATAAATAACATTTTACATGATATTAAATCATTATGTATAAACTACAATAGCTTGTGAATTATTGATACATACAGATCTGTATGAAGGTAATTACTATTAGGGTATAATCTAAGGCGGATAAGACTGGCAAAATAATTATAATTAATATTGTAATCTGTTGTATAGTGTTGAAGACGTAGAACCAGAAAAATGCACGATGCTTATGAAATGTTACCAATACTTGAAAAGCTTCCATTACAGATAGAGGCCCTTGCTGCTTATGGTAAGTTTAACTCTTTTTTTTTTCAACCAAGTCCCTGGGACCGACCCCGTAATCATTTTGCACTTGTTATAGTTTTCATGCTATAACTTTTAAATTAGTAAGTGAATGTTAAAATTTGGCACTTTATCAGTAAACATTATAATGCTTTCATATGCAAAATATCTGATTTCTTTTTTAAGTCTTAAGGTTTGTAAAGCAGTGTTTCTCTTGTGCCTTTTTTTTTCTTTTCACATCTTGCCTATCTAGCATGCAAAGTAATTTTCATTTTAAGATTATAAATACTTTTATGAATCAGGAATTTTGAAATTTCACATGCAAAATCTTTATAATATCTGGATAATTGTCAAACATTTCTTAAGAAAACCTTTATATTTTATCTGTTATGTTCAGTAATTAATCTTTGTACAGGTTTGGTGATTTGACCAATCTAGCAACCACCATAAAAAAATTAGGAAATAAACATAGATTATGCCTCTTTCATTCTAGAATGAACACAAATATAACACAAAAACATAAATGTTTAGATAAAATAGTTTAAATGTCATAACATGTACATTTATATATATATATATATATATATTTATTATTTTTATTATATTGACATTTTACACATGCCTGGCTAAATACAGCTTAATTACTAAGCTTGATAAGTTATAGTGGAATTCTGTGGTATCAGTATAGTAACTTATGATTTTTTGGTTATTTCAAATGTATATATAAAACCTAAAAAACATAATTTCATTTCACATCCTGCACATGCAAAATTTGACAAGGCTTAGCAACCTACGACAAGCAGCAAATGAGTACAAAGGTCATAACAAAAAGAGCTAATTGTTTGCTTAACTTCTTAATTTACTGTTCTATATTTTAAGAAAAATTAGTTTAAGAAGTTATTTGCAAATAGTAATAATGTATGTATAATAATTGAAATATGACTGTATTTTACAAAATAATAGTACACTAAAACACAGCCAAAACAGGTCACTTTTTAAAGACTAAAGACTATTTTATTGGATATGGTATCATGAGTGCACGTGCACCACATCATTGTTACTTTTGTATTGTTAGCCAGGTATGGCTGGAAGGTCAATATTATAAAAATAATAATATAAATGTATATTGTTATGAGATTTCAGCTATTTAGACTAAAGATGTGTGTTTTTGTGTTATAATATGTTGTCATTCTAGAACAAAAAAAGCATAATATAAATTTATTTCCTAATTTTTTTATAGTGGTTACAAGATCGATAAAATTGACCGAAACCATACAGATATTTGTGAGTGAAATTAACATATAAATTATAAGGTTTGTCTAAAGAAACATTTGATAATTATCTGGAAGTTATAAAGATTTTGCTTGTAAATTTTGAAAATTTTCTGATGCAAAAAGTATTTTAAATCTTAAAATGAAAATTACATTGCATGCTGGATAGGCAACATGGGAAAAGAAAAAAGGCATGAGAAAAGCATTGCTTAACAAAACTTAAGACTTAATATAAAAAAATCTAATATTTTGTGTATGAAAGACTTGTAATGTTTACTGATAATCTGCCAAATTTTGTGAAGATACACTTACTCATTTAAAAGTTATAGCATGAAAACTGTAACAAGCACAAAATGGTTACGAGTTTGGTCACAGGGATCAAGCCCATGCTGAAAGAGTTAGTTATTATCTTAAACTTTATCATTCTAACTGTGTACATGTTTATGTGCCATTTATTATAGCCAGAATCTACATATTGCATGACATTGAGTAATTTTAAATTTCTTGCCTGTTACAACTTTGGCCAAAATAATTTGGTGGAATCACTTATTTTTGTGTAAAATACTTTGGAAACTCCAGCAAAAATCGTCTATTTTTTTAATTTTTTTTGTGTATGTTTGAGTTGTGTTAATAGAAGCCATGTAATCAACAAGGTCATGCACTCATAAGCAGTTTAATGAAGATCTTGAAAATATGTTACTCATATGCCCTCATCAGTAATCCTAAGGTTAAATACTACGAGGTTTTGTTTTTACATTTAAAGAAAATGGCAGAGATTTGTTGTTTCCATTACTTGAAATTTGAGTTCTGTTACATAACTATTTTGGAAAAGAGCAGAATAAATATTGAATGAGATCATTTATCCAGTACTTTATTTTTTAAACATTATAACTGAATATTTTGGTGAGATCACCTTTCTACCACTGTTTGTGATGTTGTATTCTTAATATTCACTGTGCATAGGTTTTACCTTGGGGAAAAAAAGATGTATGGATGCTATCCATAATAAATCACAGTTTCTATGTTTATCCTATTCATAATAGCACTTTTGTAATCTGATAAAGATGCATGATTGTTATATCTCAATCTATGGAACTTACTATATTAATTCTCACATTCAATATCTAGCATCTATAGTGAGTCTGTCATTGTAGGATTCAAATCAGGTATTGTTTTAAATTTGAATAAATGGGAAGAACCAAAATATGAATACATTTTCATCTGTTAGTAAGCAATGAAGTGTGCTTTATTTTTGTGTACAAAAAAAATTAAGGAGTCTGTTCCTGTGTCTGTAATTTCTTTTGCAACTAAAAATCTCTCAAGGAAGTCAAACGAGTCATCATTTCATCATTTTATGAGCTGCATAGTGATTCTGAAAATTTTGAAAAGAGAAAGATCCATCTAAGCGATTATTAAGATAGATTGATCTACTAGTAAATAAAATAAGGTTTTTTCACTTTTCAGTCATTTTGATATTCAATAATTTACTTAGTATCTTAAAGAGAAATAAATATTTGATAAAATAAACTTCAGTCTTCCAAAAATTGGGTTGAAACTTCTGCATTAATGGATGGAAAAACTGTAAGTCCTTGTCTTTGTTTAGCATCTAACATTAAGCTACAGCAGTCCAAACCAAGGTTCTGTGTTTTGTAATGTTTGTATGGCATTTAGTCAAAAGTCATATTTCCTTCCTAAGTTCTAAGCTTTCAAAAGATTGGAGCAGTGTGAAAAATATTGTCAATTATCATTTAAATTATAGGAACACAGTACAGCTCTAGTTAAAAATAAAATGGTTACATTTGCAATAAATCAACCAGGTGTAGCTGAAGTCCTGCTTGTTTGCTGCCTGTAAACAAAAGACTGAGAGTAAAAGATCTGTTTGAGAGTCTATAGTTAAAACAAAACGTAGCTCTAAGAAAAAAAAAACTAATGAAACAAGCAATTTTATAGCTTTGCTCAAGTTCAAAGGTTAAATACCACTTGGAAAATGCCCCCAAAGAGGCACAATATTTGTGATACAATATATACCCCCTTCACATCTAGCTTTCCAGATTCAGTGTTGCCCTTTTTATGCAAACTTGTTTGCTTGCCACTAGCTTTGAGGCTCCCACCTAATCTTGTATTTCCTTATGATATTGCTTGCAAATGAGCATGCAACACTGCCTCCTACTACAGCTGTCTCCATTGATAATGATTGTTCAACCATCACAACTTCATTTGGCACTTTTGTGTTAACCCTTTCATGGTAGGAAGGACAAAGTGTGCATGTCACAGCCTTTTACAGAGTTACACTTAAAATTTAATTAAACTAGCTTATTATCAATGTGTCTGTGAATATACTTAGCATCAAAATGTAAGTAATAAATCAAATCTTAATATTATAAAGAAATTTTTTTTAAATCCTCAATCTCTCTCAGTATGAGAATTGTGACATTTGTTTTATAGGCCTTCCCTCTTCTTCAATTTATTTACCACCCCTCCTAGAAGTATGGAATTTAATGTAAATTATTCATTATATTATTGATATAACTCAGGTAAAGCATAATTTTTGGAGCCTTCATTCTATAAACTAGAAAATCAGATCAACTTGCTATGCTCATCTGTTACATTTCCTCTTTTGCAAATTGCCAGTAGTTCTTTCTAATGTCATATACTATCTTAGCTATAATCAGTAGAGAGCCAACATTTTAAGTTATGAAATGATGTATTATGTTGTTTTCTGTACAGGGCATTGTCTATTTCATCCTTCAGTTTAAATTTGCTCGTGAGGATGGGCTTAGCTGAATTTTGAAAGACTTATCCCATAGTTAGAAAGCCAGCTTAAAAATGAAATTAGGACTAATTGTAGAGGAAGTTGTTCAGAAGCATCTTTTCTTCTAGCAACATATTATCAAGCTAAGCTTTTTTTTCAGTTTGCTCTGATCTTTATGCATATCTTTGCTGAACTGAGAGATTTATTGGCTTTAATAGTTGAAAATAATGAAAAGAGGTTTCATAATGTGTTTATATCAGTAGCACAAGACTTCTGGAAGCTGAGATACAGGCAATTAGATCACTTCTGGACAACTGAGTTTGAGAAATTCTTGTATTTAAGTTACAAGGACAAATTAGTACTATTTTGCTCAAAAACTATTGACTTTCCTCTAAGGTTATGAGTGCCATATACTGAGAAAATGTTCAGGAAATTCATAAATACTAATATTCTTGGAGCATGCTCAATTCAACTAGACTACAGTTTACAATGTTGTTACATTTTTATGTTATATTAAAGAATTTTTTTTTTTATTGAAATAGTTTTAGTTCAAAAGTTTTATTTTTAATGCATGAAAAACTGCTAAATGTTTATTTTCTAGAATTTTTTTTAACTTAGTTGTGCAGTTTTGCCCTTGAGGTGGACTGCACCCATCTGGACATGAAGAAGGTAAATGAATGCATCAGTTGCTATATGTTTTAATTTTGTAATATTTCAACTAACGTTGATGGTGAATGTAGTATTCTTATCCTCTGGTATCTGTAAGTTTGAGGATTTATAATGCTAAAAAACTGGTCTTTGATACTTTTGGTGGGCACATCACAGATAACCCACTGTGTTGCATTGTGCTTAATAATAAGAAACAACATAGTATTTCTAAGAATTGGACCACCTGGATTTTGTTGCTAAAATTTCTGTTATTTCAGGAGAATTTCTGTTGGTGGGAACTAAACAGGGACACCTTCTGACATACAAAGTCACTGCAGTAACATCCAGTAATAGTAGTAAGTATTACTTTAATGTTGTTGTTTATGTGAAGTTTTGAAATTGACTTCTGTGAATTTGATTGGTTTAATCTTTAGAAATAGTCACATCATGATTAACAGATTATGTAACCATTAAAGTAATATTTAATGTTTCATTTTGCTTTCTGTAGGTAACAATAAATTTGAAGTGAAGCTTTTACGGTCCAACAAGTCATTTGCCAAAAAGCCCGTTACCCAGGTATGAATATTTCCAAACACAATACTGTTTTACTGAATAAAATGGTTACATTCTCAGGTAAAGATAAAAAAAAAAAATACAAGTTTAAGTTGATTATTTGAGTTACAAAGAGAAAGAAGATTATGGTTGTGGAAAATTGAAATCTTATAATCACTGATAGTCTGTACTCTTCATATAAATTAATTTGTTCATTATAATGAGTAATAACACAGGCCTGTGAAGTTAAAATTCATAAAGTTGTTTTGGTTTTAATAATGTATTTTCCATAATTCGGCTAAGCAGATTTCAAACGTAACATTAATTTTTTTTTTATAATGCAAGGACTTTTTTACAAATTTGGAAATTAAAAAAAAAAACTTTGATCAAATTGCACTGGTTGACAAAAGATTTAAACGCTTTTTGTGACCAGTTTTGCATTCTGATTGCAAATCTGTTTTTGTTTTTCTAGCACATCTAGTTATCAAAATATGACTGGTGTTATTTTCAGCACAATTTCGGTAATAATCACACATTAGGCTAGTTAACGTTAAAACTTTATTCATTTTTCAGTACAATTCCCATAAACGTTATACACATCATACACTTGGTTAAATTTATACAGTACACACTTACGAAAAAATGAACAACAACTTAAATTATAATTAAGGCAATAACCTTTCCAATTTAATTGGTCTCATCACAAAAACTTGAGATGCTAGAGAAAAACCAAAAACCGATTTGGAATCAGCATCCCAAGAGCTATCTAGGCCACCTATGATTATATCTGATGAAAATGACTTGTTGGCCAGTGTTATTATTTCTTTTACCACAATGAACATTTTTTATTATGTTTGTTAAGAAAAATACAAACAAACTGAAGAAAGGGGAAGAACATTGATGTCAAATAAATATGCATCCACATTCATCATGATTTTTATTTTTTGTTAGTGTGAAATCTAAGTCTTTTAGTCTCAAAACTATGTTATCATCTTTCTTTTATATACACCTGGAAAAAAGTTAAGCACCCCCGTGTTTTTTTCAAGTGATTCAGATTCGACGTTCTTGGGACTGATTATAAATTACCATTCAATCTAAACGTGTTTATCAAATGAAATTATGCATTATTGGGCACAAGAAAACAAGCTCATCACCGTAAAACCACAATTTTTAATTTACAGATCAGGACATCAAAATATGCACAGTTTTCACGCT